TTCCTCCAGTGTAGTGAGGTCTAGTTCTCTCAAACTTTCTTCATCGCTCAACCACCGTATCTCAGGAAACGAGCCTTGTTGCATATTTTGAACCTTTTCTAGCTTTGTTATGCGCTTGTTGAGGTCGGGGCATTATGCTGGGGCAGCATACTGCAGCATGGCTCTCACATCATGTATACTCCACTCATAAGGGATCTTTGTCCAAGTTCCTGAAGGGTAACCAGACAGTGGGCAGTAAGGCGCATGATGAGTTGTTATCATAGTTATCATTCTTGTTGTGGCTGCCTTCTCTTGTGTGTGGTGTGGTCACTGTTGTGGCTGCCTTCTCTTGTGTGTGGTGTGGTCACTGTTGTGGCTGCCTTCTCTTGTGTGTGGTGTGGTCACTGTTGTGGCTGCCTTCTCTTGTGTGTGGTGTGGTCACTGTTGTGGCTGCCTTCTCTTGTGTGTAGTGTGGTCACTGTTGTGGCTGCCTTCTCTTGTGTGTGGTGTGGTCACTGTTGTGGCTGCCTTCTCTTGTGTGTGGTGTGGTCACTGTTGTGGCTGCCTTCACTTGTGTGTGGTGTGGTCACTGTTGTGGCTGCCTTCTCTTGTGTGTGGTGTGGTCACTGTTGTGGCTGCCTTCTCTTGTGTGTGGTGTGGTCACTGTTGTGGCTGCCTTCTCCTGTGTGTAGTGTGGTCACTTGTTCATGTGGCAACATCTTCCTCCTCGTGAGACGACAGAGTAGTTTAGGCTGATCCTTTGCGTGAGGTGCTGTGTCGTCCTCTGACTGCTTGCGTCTCTGCTGCTCTCAGAGGTCTTCTGTCACTTATATATGTTGTGGTTCATCGCTGCCGTCTGCTACATTCTCTTCCGTCTTCATTTTGCCTCTAGGCATATTTTATTAAACCATAAACGGCATTTTTTTATCTAAGATACTTTATCTTTTCTGGAGGTATAAATCTTCTTTCAGCTTGGAAGATTATTTTTACTTCCCTTCCTTCAGAACTAAAAAAAATGAAGTCCATTAGATCTTTTTTTTTTTTAGTTGTAATTTTCAAACCTTCTGGTAGACACCTGCATGGAAAGCTAGTCTCTTACTTAGTCTTTCACTCGCCTCTTCTTTTTCTTCTCTCGCACATCTCTAAGGTTGGGGGTCCTTAAGAGGACGGACTACAGCAAGAAGGCCTTGGTGTACCGAGCGTCCGGGTCTGCTGAGAGAGTACCTGAGAACCTTCCTTAGCGCAGGAACAGGGTAGAAAGGGAAGAAATTTCATAAGAAAGAAATGCACGACACTTCGTTATTCAAAGACCAGGACGACCATTGCCTCTTAATACTGTGTGTGTGTATATGTGTGTATTACTCCATTGTTTCAAGTACATTGTAGCATACGTACATGCCCAAGTTCCATCTCCCAACATACCAAGCCCCACACCAACATACCGACCCCCAGCACCAACATACCCAGCCCCACACCAACATACCGAGCCCCAGCACCCACATACCGAGCCCCAACACCAACATACCCACCCCCAGCACCAACATACCCACCTCACGCCTGCTCATCACCGCCCAGTATGCGCCGCTCCACATAACTCTACTTGATGCGTCGGGAGAAAAACGATATAAAAGCCAGCATGAAACTCTGGTCCAGCTGACGTCATTAATTCTGAGAGATTAATGGAATGTTTATTGGCCAAGTTGGAGAGTTTTCGGAGCCCTTCCCTTCCCTTCCCTTCCCTTCCCTTCCTGCCCTGTTCCTTCATTTCCTGCCCTGTTCCTTCATTTCTTTCTCTGTTCCTCCCCTACTTATCCTGTTGCTTCCCTTCTTACCTCGTTCCTTCCGTTTTTACTCTGTTCCTTCGCTTCCTACCCTGTTTCTCCCCTTTCCTTCCTACTCTCTTGCTTCTCTTTTTACCCTCTTCCTTCCCTTCTTACCCTCTTCCTTCCTTTACTTCCCTCCTACACTGTTCTGTCACCTGCCTTTCATCTGTCGTTTCTCTCTACCTTTTCTCCCTATCCTCTCACCCTTCTCTCCTATCGTCTCTCTCTTCCCTCTCACCCTATTCTCTCTATCTTCCCTCTCACCGTCCCCCCCCCAGCCTGGAGACGGAACTGTCTGTCCCGCAGACAGTAGTGAGGCGACGGGGGCGTCAGAGAACACAGCTCCAGACGTAAGAGGGGACTGTTGACAGCTAACAAACAGGAGCAAGAGTCAAGCAGTTACTCACCCACTTGCGGAACCTCTACATCTTTCCCCTGATCATAACCCATAACCTTGGGTTGTGAAGTTCTGAAGCGCGTAAACTGGAAAGATGTACGTGTTTTGTTAATACTTAATGAATACCGGCCCAGGGGAATATTTTGCTAATGTTGTGGAGGTGATATTGTGACGAGGTGCCTGGTGGTGGAGGCGGGTCCTGGTACTCATCTAGTTGTGATGGTGGGGGTTGAGCTCTGGCTCTTTGGTCCCGCCTCTCAATTGTCAATCAACTGGTGTACAGGGGCCAGATTCACGAAAGCACTTACGAACGTGTACATCTTTTCACAATCTTTAGCGGCTTTGTTTACAATTATTAAACAGTTAATGAGCTCCGAAGCACCAGGAGGCTGTTTATAACAATAACAACAGTTGATTGGCAAATTTTCATGCTTGTAAACTGTTTAATAAATGTAACCAAAGCCGTCAAAGATTGAGGAAAGATGTACACGTTTGTAAGTGCTTGCGTAAGTACTTTCGTGAATCTGGGCCCAGGTTCCTGAGCCTACTGGGCTCTATCATATCTACATTTGAAACTGTGTATGGAGTCAACCTCCACCACATCACTGCCTAATGCATTCCGTCTGTTAGCTACGGTTGGTGCAGGCTGGGTGGCGTCTTAGAGCTCAAGACCTTCCTACTTAGTTCCTCCTGCAGGCCAAGGTGTCGTTACACGTGTTAACCTGAAGGAGGAACACCGGGAGGTCATTAATACTTGCGGGTGTTGTACCGTGGCGGTGTAGAGGATGTGACCGGAACACACAGGTGTTTACACAACCCCCCCCCCCCCCGGCGGAACACCTGTGGTGCTCGGTGTGTTCCATAGATCACATCCTCTATGCTCCACGTTGATTATTTTCTTCTTTTGTGTTTGTATCAATTAATATTTTCTTAATCTATATTTTCTATTAATATGTTTAAGTCTTGTGCAGTAACCTTATTCAATAACTTTAAAGTGACGCTGGGACACCTTAAGTAAAAATTTAATATTGAGAAAGATTATTGGATCAAGAAAATTAATTTGCGTCTGAAAGTGTGTTGTGTGCCGGTGAGCATCCTTGGTGGTGCGTCTCAGGCCGCGAGATGAAGTCTGGCCAGCATCTGGGAAGATCTTACCAGCCTCTTGACCAGGGAAGGGAGGAGTGGGGGTGGGGGTGAGGGAGGGGGTGAGGGTGTTGGAGGGGGGTGTAGGGAGCAGGGAGGGGGTTGGAGTGTGGGGGAGGGGGGAATGGGTGGGGGGTCGGCGCCATACTGTGGTGCCAGCCTCGGTGCCTACATTGATTGTGGTGCCTCCTACTGGCCACCACTGCAGGTCTCTCTCTCTCTCTCTCTCTCTCTCTCTCTCTCTCTCTCTCTCTCTCTCTCTCTCTCTCTCTCTCTCTCTCTCTCTCTCTCTCTCTCTCTCTCTCTCTCTCTCTCTAAATATATATATATATATATATATATATATATATATATATATATATATATATATATATTATTCATTGAATATAACTGCATATTCTGTATTGATTATTTTCTTGTTCAGGGCTTCTACCCCTCTGACTAGTGGTCTAGCGTCTTGGTTTAAGTGGAAGAGAACTTCTCCAAATGTCACCTTTGTTCTAGGTCAACTAAAAGAATAATTAAGTGTAGAATATATTACACTAATACATTCCGACTCTAGATGATCCCGACTCTCTCTCTCGAGAGAGAGCGAGCGAGCCCCAAACTCTCTTTTGAGAGTCCCAACTCTCTCTCTTGATGGCATTTTAGATCACTTAGTGCATCCGGACCTTTTACTATGACGAATATGTGATCTACATAACGGCAGTATACAGTTGGTTTTTGTCTACTACTGAAGACTCTATCTTCGATGGTTCCATGTAAACATTAGCGAATAACACTCCTAAGGGGGGAGCCCATTGCTACTCCGTCTATTTGTAGATACATGTCCTCTTGCGGACTGATGAAAGGAGCTTCCTTGGTACATGCCTCGAGAAGGCTCTTAATGTGTGGCTCAGGTATATCTTATTTGGGGGTACTCTCGTCTCTGGATACTCTGTCCAGTATCATACCTATGGTGGTGTCGACTGGGACGTTGGTAAACAGGGATTCGACGTCCAGGGAAGCAATGATTCCATCGGACTGTATAGATTTGATTAATTCTAAGAAATCTGTTGATGATTTTAGACTATAGTTGCTTGGAGTGTATGGAGTTAGGAGTTCGTTAAGTCTTTTTGGTAGATAATATGTTGGAGTTGACCTACATGCCCACTACACCTCATTAATCTGTGTATGTACTTCCTAACTTTTTCCGCTATATTTGTTCCCATTTACGTCCGTTATTCATTTGCCATGTATGCCCTATTTTCCCCCCTTTTGCGCTGCACTCCTCGCCTATTTGTATTATGTACCAGACCTCCCTAATAGTATAAATCCAATACGCCCAGTACAGTCCCATCACTTGAGAATGTACCATGTAGGTTCGAAACGTTGTGTAAATTTATAACTAATGTAATACATTCTACAGTTAATTATTATATTTAGTTTATCTCGAACAAACATGATTTGGAGAAATCTTCTTCCAATTAAACCAAGATGCTTTAATTGAGAGGAAAAGAAACCATAAACAAGATGGCTACATAGTAATCAGTACAGAATAGTGTCATATTCAATTAAACATGTCTAAATGAAAACATGAATATATATATATATATATATTAATGTGAGGAAGCAGCCTGAGCATCCCATATGGCACTAAGAGCATGACTGCCCATCCCACAGGTGGACTGTTCGACATGGGAGACGAGAAGCAGGAGATAGCCTTCAGGTACGCCGTAGACAGCGTCAACCACCGCGAGAGACTCCTCAGCCCGTCAGAACTACACACCATGATAGAGCACATCCCGCCCTTCGACTCCTTCCACGCCTCAAAGAGAGGTGAGACACAGCTCTATGTTTTCCCTCCTCTCTCTAATGCCTGCGTCTCCTGTCTGCCCGTGCAGGCTCTGCTTAACCACTTTGCTGGCTGCTACTCTGTCTGCTGCAGGTTACCTGGTTGATGGGGTTCTGGGAGTTCTTTTACTCCCCAAGCCCGGCCCGAGGCCAGGCTCGACTTGTGAGAGTTTGGTCCACCAGGCTGTTGCTTGGAGCGGCCCGCAGACCCACATACCCACCACAGCCCGGCTGATCCGGAACTTCTCTTAGAAAACAGTCCAGTTTTCTCTTGTTAATCCAGGTTAATCTCTCTCTTAATCTCTCCAGGTTAATCATTCATCTGAGAGAAATAACACAGAATCTTAGATAAGCGTAATTGTCTTGTTCTTGCAGAAGTGTGAAAGGCTGCAACTCTGAGTCAGGTCCTCCTAAAAATATCTTCCAGCATCTATGCAAAGTAAATTATAACATTAATAAAATATGACCAAAATATAATTACATATAGATATGGCACATCATGGCATGCTGGAGACTCATCTGGGGCACCTATTACACATTGTGGGATGCTGGAGACTCATCTGGGGCACCTATTACACATTGTGGGATGCTGGAGACTCATCTGGGGCACCTATTACACATTGTGGGATGCTGGAGACTCATCTGGGGCACCTATTACACATTGTGGCATGCTGGAGACTCATCTGGGGCACCTATTACACATTGTGGGATGCTGGAGACTCATCTGGGGCACCTATTACACATTGTGGCATGCTGGAGACTCATCTGGGGCACCTATTACACATTGTGGCATGCTGGAGACTCATCTGAGGCACCTATTACACATTGTGGGATGCTGCAGACTCATCTGGGGCACCTATTACACATTGTGGCATGCTGGAGACTCATCTGGGGCACCTATTACACATTGTGGCATGCTGGAGACTCATCTGAGGCACCTATTACACATTGTGGGATGCTGGAGACTCATCTAGAGCACCTATTACACATTGTGGGATGCTGGAGACTCATCTAGAGCACCTATTACACATTGTGGGATGCTGGAGACTCATCTGAGGCACCTATTACACATTGTGGGATGATGTAGACTCATCTGAGGCACCTATTACACATTGTGGGATGATGGAGACTCATCTAGAGCACCTATTACACATTGTGGGATGCTGGAGACTCATCTGAGACACCTATTACACATTGTGGGATGATGTAGACTCATCTGAGGCACCTATTACACATTGTGGGATGATGGAGACTCATCTGAGGCACCTATTACACATTGTGGGATGATGTAGACTCATCTAGAGCACCTATTACACATTGTGGGATGATGGAGACTCATCTGAGACACCTATTACTATTATTGAGAAAAGATTCCCCGTGAAAAGTTATAATTATGGTAATTAATCCTGTTGCTGACGCAATAAATTACTGGTGCAGAAAATTCTGGATCCTTTTGCAATTAGCGTAATTCTTTAAAGTCTTGGTCACCATCTTCTCCACTTCAAGACCCCTGCAAATTTTCACCTACAAAAATTACTAAATATTAAACGCTTTATATATATATATATATATATATATATATATATATATATATATATATATATATATATATATATATATTTTATATATATATATATATATATATATATATATATATATATTTATATATATTTATATATATTTATATGTCTGCCATTTTATTTGTCCAAAGTAGGTCGGCCTATTAGGGTCTAGTCTCACATAACTTTTCAGTATGAAACATGTACGGTATGAGAGGGTCACAGGCTAGTTCGGGTCGGCCCAAGTGCCATGCTTTTACAAATATCGGCACCTATTACGACCGTAGAACGACTTTCATAGTCTGAAATGAAACAAAGGATGTGCTTTCTTTCAAGTTTAAGTGCTTTCTCCAGGAGTTTACCTGTACATTTTCATGGTGTACTTGAGAGAGGTGAATGGGAGTCCATTTGTCATAGGAGGATGGGGGGGGGGAGGGAAGAAAGTTGAGGCACCGGGAGGGAAGGAATATATATATGCAATTGACGATCACAAAACACTAATCATTTTTATGCGGAAAATCCATAGAGAAATGTGAAAGGAAGTGAAGGTTTCGGCCTGATTAAAGCCTTTGTCAACACCAGACTAGAGGAAAGAGAGGGAGGGTACAGGCCAACACCTAGAACCTGACCTCGATTTAAGTCTAACATGAATATATAAACTCCAGAATCTGTATACCAATTGACTGACAGTCGAGAGGCAGGATCAAAGAGCTGAAGCTCAACCCCCGCAAGCACAACTGAGTACACACACACACACACACACTGATAAGAAGTTGAGGAAGCCACCTCCATCCACAACTGCAAACTCAGGCTAGAAAGAATCCGAAGGTCAGAATAGTTACATTATAACGTAAAAAGGAACAACAAGTTAGTTAACAAGGTATGACGAGCTAGATCTCATGCCCCGGTTATCAATGATAGGTAAATACACACCAAGTTCAATCAAATGTATATAATTTTCATCGTTCCCGCAGAGCCGCACACCATCCTATTCATACCTCTCGCATCACTGAATGTCTGGGACTGGTGTGTGAGCTATATAAGTGGCACGGAGCTGCCAGACGTATGGCAGAAAGTCCTCGGCGTCGTCCCGATCCATCATGCTATTAGTACTGTTACACTTAGTTTTTTTCCTAATTGGTTTCATTACTGAAATACTCTTGATGTAACTTGTAGTCCCAATTGATGGATACTTTTTAGCAGGTAAGTTTTTGTATGGATGTTCGTAAACGCCTCCAGACGTTCGTGGATCCGATCGGATGCAAGTCCCATGTCGGTTCATCATTCGATTTTACAACCTAGTTTAGCCTAACATAACCTAACCTAGCCTAACCACCTACCTTAACATAACCTAGCATAACCTAACCTGATATGACCTAGCACACCCTAGCCTAGTCTAACATAACCTAGCCTAACCTAACTTAGAACAGCCATAACTTAACATAACCTAACCTAGAACAAGTAGACAGCGGCTTGTTTGATGGAAAGACAGAGGTAACTGTCTCTGCTAATATCACCATAACAGAGAGTAAGGTCACCTGATGCGACCCGACCTCCTCCTTACATGTGAACATCAGCGCCTGAGGAGAGAACCATCCCATTGTTAAGGAGGACTGTTACACTGTCGCCTCCCAATTCCTGTGTGAACCGACTCTACTTGTTTCAGTGACTATATTAAATCAAACCATTTATGGTGTTACAGTGGTGGTGATTGGTGTGGGAAATATTTTCCACCAATAAGGATGTATAACTGCCTAATAAATTTCCCCTTGGAATTCATAACTATGAGGATTCGTCCTCTGTTAAATTTATAAGATTAATCTTAAATTACTAATACTTAAATTGATTTATTAATGAGGATTATTCCTGTTATTAAAATATGGAAATATTATAATATTTTTACTGGGCTGACGTAACATCTGTGACGTCACCCAGGTCCTGTCACCACAAGGGTTGAGTAGCTGAACTACATGTTTTAAGCCTCGTTAATGAATTAAAGTGCAGAGATAAAATCCAGCACATTATATAATAAATATACTAATATATTTAATTCGAATCCTATAATAATTCGAATTAAACAGCCTAATTCCCAATTTCATAACTATTTATTCTCGCACGAACGGAGGCGTGAGAGAGGACGCGGCCATATTGTTTGAGAGACGCGGGTTGGAGCAGAACCTCCGGCTTAGTGACCATATATCTACCACCACAGACGCCTGCTGAACTGCTGTTAAGTCACGTGGCATATTTCAGGGCAGTGTTAACGTCTCCGTCGCACAGTTTTCCTAAGTACATCATAATATTCATAGTTTTGGCCGTATGTTTAATAACTGTGTGAGAGGGGGTTAGGCTGCCGGCCCGACACCTAATGTCCCAAGGGCTCGTACAGAGCCCTGGATTGTTGAGACTTGATGAATAATAACTTAAGTTGTAAGGTTTTGATGTTAATCTTTGATTCATCGGCGGGAGAATTGAACTCATCATCGTTGTCATACACAAGGCTGCTCTCGTCAATGGCTTACTAGCTAAGAAATCACCCAGACATCTAAGACGGAAGAAAAGAAAGAATTAACTCGGTTTACACTAACCTTTAATGTATTAACTCGGTTTACACTAACCTTTAATGTATTAACTCGGTTTACATTAATCAATTAGCTCGGTTAACATTAACCTTTAATAATTGTAATAATAATTACAATTCCTGTTCTGTCTGAATTATAATTAACATCACCAGACCTCCCCCCCCCCCGGCACTGCGGAATTGTGTGGAATAATTCAATTGGCCATGTTACATTGTCTATTACAACTTGATGCCAAATATTTAAATGTACAGCCTACTCACTAGAAATAATATAAAAAAAATATATAAACTTAGCCACATAATCCCACAGTTGATGTGTGGGAAGTGGTGGTGGTAGTGGTGGATATATGTGTGGGAAGTGGTGGTGGTAGTGGTGGATATATGTGGGAAGTGGTGGTGGTAGTGGTGGATATATGTGTGGGAAGTGGTGGTGGTAGTGGTGGATATATGTGTGGGAAGTGGTGGTGGTAGTGGTGGATATATGTGTGGGAAGTGGTGGTGGTAGTGGTGGATATATGTGGGAAGTGGTGGTGGTAGTGGTGGATATATGTGTGGGAAGTGGTGGTGGTAGTGGTGGATATATGTGTGGGAAGTGGTGGTGGTAGTGGTGGATATATTTGTGGGAAGTGGTGGTGGTAGTGGTGGATATATTTGTGGGAAGTGGTGGTGGTAGTGGTGGATATATTTGTGGGAAGTGGTGGTGGTAGTGGTGGATATATTTGTGGGAAGTGGTGGTGGTAGTGGTGGATATATTTGTGGGAAGTGGTGGTGGTAGTGGTGGATATATTTGTGGGAAGTGGTGGTGGTAGTGGTGGATATATGTGTGGGAAGTGGTGGTGGTAGTGGTGGATATATTTTTCCTTTTTGGCAGAGAAATTCCTGCGCTTGTAGTTAGTGGAATTGTTGGTGTGGCTAATCCGTCGGGGTGGTTGGTTGGGGTTGATTGGAGAGTGGTTGATGGGGGACTGGTTGTGTTGCTGGTGGATAGTGATATACCTTCTGTCAGAATATTTACATATAATAGGAGCAAAATGGACTCCCGTACCGAGTCCTGTGACACCCCAACTTGTCTTCTCCCTAAACTGTGATTCCTCATGCCTCTTACACTGATACGCTCGGTTTCCTACCTGGGAGGTATTCCCTTACCTATCCTAGATCTCCTCCTCATTACAAAAGCGATATTGTCAGGTTTGTATTAGAGTAACCTTTGTGTGGGACAACTCCAAGTACTCTCTGGCAGTCGAGGAATAGTCGTTTCCTAGCTTAATCGCTGTTATTTAGTGTCTTGGTAAGGTCCGAAGTGTGCTCGTAAGGTCCGAAGTGTGCTCGTAAGGTCCGAAGTGTGCTCGTAAGGTCCGGAGTGTGCTCGTAAGGTCCGGAGTGTGCTCGTAAGGTCCGGAGTGTGCTCGTAAGGTCCGGAGTGTGCTCGTAAGGTCCGAAGTGTGCTCGTAAGGTCCGAAGTGTGCTCGTAAGGTCCGAAGTGTGCTCGTAAGGTCCGGAGTGTGCTCGTAAGGTCCGGAGTGTGCTCGTAAGGTCCGGAGTGTGCTCGTAAGGTCCGGAGTGTGCTCGTAAGGTCCGGAGTGTGCTCGTAAGGTCCGGAGTGTGCTCGTAAGGTCCGAAGTGTGCTCGTAAGGTCCGAAGTGTGCTCGTAAGGTCCGGAGTGTGCTCGTAAGGTCCGAAGGGTGCTCATAACCTCCGAAGGGTGTTCATAAGCTCCGAAGAGTGCCCGTTTTGACCCCAGTATGCTCGTACGGGACCCCAGTATGCTCGTACGGAACCCCAGTATGCTCGTACGGAACCCCAGTATGCTCGTACGGAACCCCAGTATGCTCGTACGGAACCCCAGTATGCTCGTACGGAACCCCAGTATGCTCGTACGGAACCCCAGTATGCTCGTACGGAACCCCAGTATGCTCGCACGGAACCCCAGTATGCTCGCACGGAACCCCAGTATGCTCGCACGGAACCCCAGTATGCTCGCACGGAACCCCAGTATGCTCGCACGGAACCCCAGTATGCTCGCACGGAACCCCAGTATGCTCGCACGGAACCCCAGTATGCTCGCACGGAACCCCAGTATGCTCGCACGGAACCCCAGTATGCTGGTAAGATTCCGAGCGTGCTGGCAAGATTCCGAGCGTGCTGGCAAGATTCCGAGCGTGCTGGCAAGATTCCGAGCGTGCTGGCAAGATTCCGAGCGTGCTGGCAAGATTCCGAGCGTGCTCGCAAGATCTCCAGAGAGGCTGAATCAGGGGAATGTGTATTAAGGAGGCGGGAACTTGTCCCAAGTATTCAAATAAAAGAAAATTGCGCTGTCAGTCTTCCTTGTACTTGTTCTCGTGTTTCTTCCTCCATGTCTTGGTCTTCCTTGTTCTTGTCGGTGTTATATTGCTACCTGCTTCTGTGTAATTATCTAAGTGTAGTTACAGGATGAGAGCTAGGCTCGTGGTGTGCCGTCTTCCCAGCACTCTGTCATATAACGCTTTGAAACTACTGATGGTTTTGGCCTCCACCACCTTCTCACCTAACTTGTTCCAACCGTCTACCACTGTTTGCGAAAGTGAATTTTCTTATATTTCTCCGGCATCTTTGTTCAGTTAGTTTAAATCTATGACCTCTTGTTCTTGAGGTTCCAGGTCTCAGGAATTCTTCCATGTCAATTTTATCGATTCCTGTTACCATCTTGTTCGTAGTGATCATATCGCCTCTTTTTCTTCTGTCTTCTAGTTTTGGCATATTTAATGCCTCGCAGCTCTTACCCTTCAGTTCTGGTTCTTGCTGCATTGTTCCAAATGGATCACTAAAACTGGAACTGAACTCAGAATGTATCGGATTTATAATTTGTACCAAGAGAGACAACAACGGCACTTCTCTGCATCGTGGGAGATAACACCCTTTCAAATTTTAATCCCTCCCTTTCCACCCAAGAAGCAAATTAGAGATTAGCCCAAGCTTCGTCTTCTGGCAAAGCTCAGCGCCTTAAGCCATATTGATGCTCTGTGGTCTGTCCGAACTATTTGCCTTGCTCTTTGCACTGAAATGTGTACAAGTCTCCAAACTTGTAAAATTAATTGCAATTGACTGTTTTATCATTCTGAGTTGCTCTTAACTCTAAGACATAACTGTAACATGTTCGTGTCTAAAGCTAGACACAAATACAACAAAATTATTAATGATGGTTACAGTTCATTTCATGTGGACTCTATCTCATGTTGGCCTCCAAATGTATGATAGAGCTGATGAGTTAGCCAAAGAATTTGCCTTTAAAGGAGAAATTGAGTATAACCTTGGATTGTCAATAAGCAGTCTGAGAGGAATAGTACACCAAGAACTTCAACAAAATCTTGTAGATCTGAGGCAAAGTGAAATCGACACCAGTAATTCCATATATCATCGTACAATCATGCAAGAGGAGCCACACATCTATGGATCAACTAATAAAATCAGCAGACTTCTAGATGTTACTACTGCTCGGCTTAGACTCGGTTACAAGTATCTCTGGGAATTCTCATTATCTGCTGATGTAGACCAGACCAAATGTAAACTGTCAATGAAATTATTCACACACCCTCCGTCACTATGTGATGGAGTGCGAAAAGATACGTGAAATCAGAGAGAATTCTATAACCAATGTTCCAGAGATGTGTAAATATTTCATTCAAAATTATCTGCTATCAGAAATCTTAGCCAAATATCCCTAGTTTGCTAACTGTAGGTAGTAACTAAGTAATATAACTTGTCCACCGCTGCCCACTGGATGGGGGGGCGGTGTGTAGGACAAACAAATCAATTGTGACACTAGGCTCTCCACATATGTCAGTTGCTTAATTTAGAAACTGTACTTGTGGTCGGTCTCGAGCCTATTGTTGATGTGACGATATGCATTGGTAACTAACTCATCAAGATTGTAACTTGCTTAGCTAAATGAATTGTGGGGTTCAGTCCCTGAGCCCATTATGTGCCTCTGTAACCCTTTCCACTACCGCCCACAAGATGGTATGGGGTGCATAATAAATGAACTAAACTAACTGTTCTAATCCCTGTGTAACTTCCTCCATCTGTACTGACAAAAACTATTTTTCTTGCTGAATTTCCTTACCTAACCTATTGTAGTCATTTATGTTTAAGTTTGATTTAACTTCTTCCTATGCTATTTTCAAGTTTATTTTCCTCTTCCATGGCTTTGCAATTTGTTTCCAATTGAATCTTGTCCTTCCATAAGTCTTTCACTAACCCTTCAAGACCTAATCCTTAGCTACTCATGTGGTCATTACTTTCTTTCAATTTGCTCATTATTTCTACATGATAGTTCACTATAATATCTAATTTTGCCAACTTGTTGTGTAGACTGCTTATATTAATGGATCTATGGATCCATTATCCATAGATCCATTTCATCCATTTCCATCCATTTCCTTCATTGAAACCCCAAAATTTTAGCTCTGTTTTGTTTTTCTTCTTGCCAGCGGCCATCTTGAATGTCGTCGTCTGCACTCTTAACACTTGGGCAACTTTTTCTCATCTATTTTTTACAATTCACTTAGCACATTCGTCTTATCTCATCCATTTTTCCAAAGCACTATACCTTTATGTTCTCTGGGAACACCACTCACTATCATCAACCTGTACTACAATACCTAGGAAGTGTGAAGTATCCTGGAGCTCCTCAGGTGCAGGTGTTGACACAAGGGGTGTCACCGTGTGTGTTGTTTTTATTTTCTCTTGTGTTGTTGCTCATTCTTCATTCCTTCCTGTTGTTTCTGCCTCGGGAGGTTGAGAAGCGGTTCGCAACCAGTGCTGTTGGAAGTTGAGAACCGGTTGCAAAAAGGTTATAAACTGGTTGAAGCAAGTGGTTGGAAATCGGTTTTATCAAGAGGTTATAAACCGGTTGCAACAAGGGAATTAGAAACGTTGCAGCGAGAGGCCAGGAGCCGGTTGCAGCGAGAGGCCAGGAGCCGGTTGCAGCAGCAGGGGGGCCAGGAGCCGGTTGCAGCAGCAGGGGGGCCAGGAGCCGGTTGCAGCAGCAGGGGGGGGGGCCAGGAGCCGGTTGCAGCAGCAGGGGGGGGGGGGGCCAGGAGCCGGTTGCAGCAGCAGGGGGGGGCAGGAGCCGGTTGCAGCAGCAGGGGGGGGCAGGAGCCGGTTGCAGCAGCAGGGGGGGGGGCCAGGAGCCGGTTGCAGCAGCAGGGGGGGCCAGGAGCCGGTTGCAGCAGCAGGGGGGGCCAGGAGCCGGTTGCAGCAGCAGGGGGGCCAGGAGCCGGTTGCAGCAGCAGGGGGGGGCCAGGAGCCGGTTGCAGCAGCAGGGGGGGCCAGGAGCCGGTTGCAGCAGCAGGGGGGGCCCAGGAGCCGGTTGCAGCAGCAGGGGGGGGGGGGGGGGGCAGGAGCCGGTTGCAGCAGCAGGGGGGGCCAGGAGCCGGTTGCAGCAGCAGGGGGGGGGCCAGGAGCCGGTTGCAGCAGCAGGGGGGGCCAGGAGCCGGTTGCAGCAGCAGGGGGGGCCAGGAGCCGGTTGTAGCAGGGGGCCAGGAGCCGGCTACAGCGGGAGTTAATTTCCCGGCTGCTGCTCCGG